TAGAACGAGGCGTAGAACAGTAGACACTTCTTACTCAGTGAGATACACTTAACAAGGCCTGTATTCTGGAATTTAGCTGAAATCTAGAATACTTACATATGCAACAACAAGGGTACCAGACAGCACCTGCCTCATCCAGGGCAGCACTGCAGGAGAGGTACATCACTACAGCTTCTACATGTATACTTCACACAGATAATAAATGACGGCTTTCATGCAAAAAGGGCATATGTACCATTTTGGGTCGATTTTTACTTTTTGCAAGATCGAGCTTATTTTTGGCAGACTGACTTGTTTTGAAATGAAAAGCATCTTTGGGTAATTGTTTTTGTTGATTTGCGTTTCATTTTCGAGAAACAACATTTGCAAAAAAACTCAGTTTTCCAAGGATATCTTTTGGAGATCTTTTGTTGAGCGAAAATCAAAAGAAACCTTTGTTTTGTTAAACGATGAAGTCTCTGAAGCGTGGTATTTGCCGCTAGTTTTATTATTTATGTAATTACGCAATTCTCTTACTGTTGCTTCGTTAGCACAAGCGGATAAGGCACTGAACGGGCCGCAGCTGAGTTTGTTTTGTCGTGACACCGGTTCAACATGAGGTTGGGCGGTACTTTTTTCCGGTCTATTTCTCTACTTCTTTCAAAAATCAAAACATCTATATAAAAAAAATCGTGCTGTCGAAGCTCTTAAACGTAACCCTTTAAGTTCGCACTGCGTCAAAATCCACCTTTGAAGGACTTGCTCCAAAAGATGCCGCTCAGAAAATTGAGTTTTTTTTACATACATTAGTTCTCAAAAAGGAAGGGCAAATCAACAAAAACAATTATGCAACAATGCTTTTCATGTCAAAATGAGTCAGTCTGCCAAAAATTAGCTTGATCCTGCAAAAAATAAAAATTGACCCAAAATGGTACATACACCCTTTTTGCACGAAAGCCTTAAAAATATTAGGGGTTGGAATGCACTACCACTGCCACCTGGACATTAGATGTTGCAAAACAGTAAACATTTTAAGTCTGCACTCTTTGAATGACTGAGGACCTATTTTACTTACCTATTTGTTTGTTTTTCATTGTCCAGTTACTTTGTACACCGCACAATTTTAGTAGTTTGCAAACCTGGGTTGCACTCGGGATGAGATGGGAAACAGTTGTCCTGTAGTAATTGTTAGATCTGTTGCTGGGCGACATGTATATAACAATATCCCTACCTTATTTGCATTATGCAGACCTGTCACAATTTCAATATTTTTCTCCTATGGCAGACAAATCTCCCAGTTTTTAAGGTCAAAGAGTCATCTGTAAGGAGACGGTACAGTGACTTCAAATGGCTAAGAAGTGAATTAGAAAGGGACAGCAAGGTAATAACAAACTTACTTTAGAACTTCATTTATGGTTTTTCCTTCTCCCTTCACTCCTCCTTCCCTCCACTGCCCTGAAAAGGAATTAAAGCTCTCTAACAACTAGATGATTGATTTATGATTGCTTTTACTTTTGCTTAGTACTGTAGTTGGTTGGAAAGATTCTTGCAGGCTATATTATCCAACAAATGAATGTTAACTGCAACCTTGTGACCTAAACTACCAAAAAGAAGTTGATTGTCTCCAGAAGGTCACAAATTCTGCTCCAGCTGCGAGGTTGATCTACCAGAACTGCTGCTTGATTTGGCTTGGGGGCAAGTAACGATTATGTGCTTACCTTTTCAGATTGTGGTACCTCCTCTTCCTGGCGATGCATTAAAGAAACAATTACCATTCAGAGGAGATGATGGTAAGGGGCTGTTGTTTTCTCTTGAGATTAGAGATTTATAACATAATATGACCTGCCTTGGTCATTTAAGACATTTAACTCAGGGGTTTCATTAATGTTTACAGCAGGATCGGAGGGCAACTGGTTTTCACTGGCAGGCAAAACATCTTGAACAGAACATCTTTATAAGAAAAACTTTTCTCTTGATGGTCAAACCAGGCAGGCAAAATCATCCTCACAGCTGGTCAATTTGCCCAGTGCCTGGCCCTTAATGAAACATGTCTTCTTATTTGTTACTTTAAGAGTTTCATTCATTTTCCTTCTAGGAATTTTTGAAGATGATTTTATTGAAGAAAGAAGGCAGGGCCTAGAAGCATTTGTCAATAGGTATGAACAAGTTTATAACTCTTGTATATTAGACTCAAAATATTTGTATGCAGCATTTGAAACACAAGAGACATTATCACATCTCCAAATAGTGTGGAGGGATAACAATGTCATGCATGGCAGAGCAATTTTGACAAACTTTGAAGTGACAGTTTGGAAATGTGATGATACACTTTTTGAGTCATTTAGATATAAATCTTCTCCATAAAAACTAAGGTAAACATAAACAATCCAAAAATATCAATGCTAACTGAGAACACAGTTCTAATTAGTACTCTTGGCTCTCTTAGTCATGTAAAGGTAAAGGCAGAGTCTGTATATGAGCAAAAAGGCCCAGCAGGTCATCGCTCAGCTCTGGTTCTAGTGGCATGAAACAACTAGGAGTATTTCAACTCCCCCCTGGCTGGGATGCTAGTGCATTGTGGGGTTACCCCACAGCATTAAATTTGCCAGTACCCATTTATACACTTGGGTGGATAGAGACACTG